CTAAACCCTAAACCCTAAACCCTAAACCCTAAACCCTAAACCCTAAACCCTAAACCCTAAACCCTAAACCCTAAACCCTAAACCCTAAACCCTAAACCCTAAACCCTAAACCCTAAACCCTAAACCCTAAACCCTAAACCCTAAACCCTAAACCCTAAACCCTAAACCCTAAACCCTAAACCCTAAACCCAACCCCCCTAAGTGGGAGAGTTGCCACCGGATCCCATAAGAACTCCGGAGTTAAGCGTGCTCAGGTGGGAGCAGTCCCCGGATGGGTGACCTCCCTGGGAAGTCCCAAGGTACGTGTGCATGCGTTGCGAGACGCTTGCTGTGCATGTGCTGAAAGGCACCGCTGCATTATCGTGCCGCCAGGCACGTGTTACGAACCCCTCCAACACCATGCCAAGATGCTTCGAGTTTTGAAGAACGTGCCGAGAGGCACCTCTGCCACCATGCCGAGAGGCATATGTGGCAACCATCTCACCATGCCAAGATGTCCCCAGCTCCAAAGAACGTGCCGAGAGGCACCCCTGCCACCATGCCGAGAGGCATATGTGGCATCCATCTCATCATGCCAAGACGCCCCAGCTCCGAACAACGTGCCGAGAGGCACCCCTTACCACTATGCCGAGAGGCATATGTGGCATCTGTCTCACCATGCCAAGACGCCCCAAGCTCGAAAGAACGTCCATCTCATCATGCCAAGACGCCCCAGCTCCGAACAACGTGCCGAGAGGCACCCCTTACCACTATGCCGAGAGGCATATGTGGCATCTGTCTCACCATGCCAAGACGCCCCAAGCTCGAAAGAACGTGCCGAGAGGCACCCCTTACCACTATGCCGAGAGGCATATGTGAGAGGCACCAAAGTACTTGGGCATGTGAAGTACCGGGATGGGTGACCTCTCGAGAAGTTCGGCCCAAGACAATTATCCCAAAAAAAAACCGGATGGGTGACCTCCCTGGGAAGTCCCAAGGTACGTGTGCAAGCGTTGCGAGACGCTTGCTCTGCATGTGCTGAAAGGCGCCGCTGCATTATCGTGCCACCAAGCACGTGTTACGAACCCCTCCAACACCATGCCAAGATGCCTCAAGTTTCGAAGAACGTGTCGAGAGACACCCCTGCCACCATGCCGAGAGGCATATGTGGCAACCATCTCACTATGTCAAGACGCCCCCAACTCCGAAGAATGTGCCGAGAGGCACCCCTGCCACCATGTCGAGAGGCATATGTGGCATCCATTTCATCATGCCAAGACGCCCCAGCTCCGAACAATGTGCCGAGAGGCACCCCTGCCACCATGCCGAGAGGCATATGTGGCATCTATCTCCGAAGAATGTGCCTGAGAGGCACCAAAGTGCTTGGGGATGTGAAGTACCGGGATGGGTGACCTCCCGAGAAGTTCGGCCCAAGACAGTTATCAAAAAAAAAAAAAAAAAAAAACCCTAAACCCTAAACCCTAAACCCTCCAACCCCCCTAAGTGGGAGAGTTGCCACCGGATCCCATAAGAACTCCAGAGTTAAGCGTGCTCGGGTGGGAGCAGTCACCGGATGGGTGACCTCCCTGGGAAGTCCCAAGGTACGTGTGCATGCGTTGCGAGACGTTTGCTCTGCATGTGCTGAAAGGCACCAAAGTGCTTGGGGATGTGAAGTACCGGGATGGGTGACCTCCCGAGAAGTTCGGCCCAAGACAGTTATCCCAACAAAAAAAAAAAAAAAAAAAAAAAACCCTAAACCCTAAACCCTAAACCCAACCCCCCTAAGTGGGAGAGTTGCCACCGGATCCCATAAGAACTCCGGAGTTAAGCGTGCTCAGGTGGGAGCAGTCACCGGATGGGTGACCTCCCTGGGAAGTCCCAAGGTACGTGTGCATGCGTTGCGAGACGCTTGCTGTGCATGTGCTGAAAGGCACTGCTGCATTATCGTGCCGCCAGGCACGTGTTACGAACCCCTCCAACACCATGCCAAGATGCTTGAGTTTCGAAGAACGTGCCGAGAGGCACCCCTGCCACCATGCCGAGAGGCATATGTGGCAACCATCTCACCATGCCAAGATGCCCCCAGCTCCAAAGAACGTGCCGAGAGGCACCCCTGCCACCATGCCGAGAGGCATATGTGGCATCCATCTCATCATGCCAAGACGCCCCAGCTCCGAACAATGTGCCGAGAGGCACCCCTGCCACCATGCCGAGAGGCATATGTGGCATCTATCTCCGAAGAATGTTCCTGAGAGGCACCAAAGTGCTTGGGGATGTGAAGTACCGGGATGGGTGACCTCCCGAGAATTCGGCCCAAGACAGTTATCCCAAAAAAAAAAAAAAAAAAAAAAAACCCTAAACCCTAAACCCTAAACCCCCCTAAGTGGGAGAGTTGCCACCGGATCCCATAAGAACTCCGGAGTTAAGCGTGCTTGGGTGGGAGCAGTCACCGGATGGGTGACCTCCCTGGGAAGTCCCAAGGTACGTGTGCATGCGTTGCGAGACGCTTGCTGTGCATGTGCTGAAAGGCACCGCTGCATTATCGTGCCGCCAGGCACGTGTTACGAACCCCTCCAACACCATGCCAAGATGCTTCGAGTTTCGAAGAACGTGCCGAGAGGCACCCCTGCCACCATGCCGAGAGGCATATGTGGCAACCATCTCACCATGCCAAGATGCCCCCAGCTCCAAAGAACGTGCCGAGAGGCACCCCTGCCACCATGCCGAGAGGCATATGTGGCATCCATCTCATCATGCCAAGACGCCTGAGAGGCACCACAACGTGCCGAGAGGCACCCCTTACCACTATGCCGAGAGGCATATGTGGCATCTGTCTCACCATGCCAAGACGCCCGAAGCTCCAAAGAATGTGCCGAGAGGCACCCCTGCCACCATGCCGAGAGGCATATGTGGCATCTATCTCCGAAGAATGTGCCTGAGAGGCACCAAAGTGCTTGGGCATGTGAAGTACCAGGATGGGTGACCTCCTGAGAAGTTCGGCCCAAGACAGTTATCCCAAAAAAAAAAAAAAAAAAAAACCCTAAACCCTAAACCCCCCTAAGTGGGAGAGTTGCCACCGGATCCCATAAGAACTCCGGAGTTAAGCGTGCTCGAGTGGGGTCAGTCCCCAGATAGGTGACCTCCCTGGGAAGTTGCTGTGCATGTGCTGAGAGGCACCGCTACATTATCATGCCGCCAAGCACCCCTACCACCATGCCGAGAGGCATATGTGGCATCATGTCACCATGCTAAGACGCCCCCTTCTCCAAAGAACGTGCCGAGAGGCACCCTTGCCACCATGCCGAGAGGCGCTAGTGGCATTTATCTCCGAAGAATGTGCTCAGAGGCACCAAAGTGCTTGGGTGTGTGAAGTACCAAGATGGGTGACCTACCGAGAAGTTCGGCCCAAGACAATTATCCAAAAAAAAAAAAAAAACCCTAAACCCTATACAAAAATATACACACTTAAGTGGAAGAGTTGAAGAGGGAGCTAGTAGAGGTCAAGAGGCAATTACAAGTTCAATGGAGTGACACTACTTGGGAGAGACAAGTTTGAGAAAACAAGCAACTAATGGAGGTTGCACAATGACAGGAGATATACTATCCCCAAAAATCACGCATCTAATAGTTGCATGAGGGTGATAGAAATACATGTTTCTTTTATGCCTCAATCACACATCAATCTTGATCTGATTCTACATCTCTTCTAGAGGTATATAATCGTAACATATCTCATATGTAAGAGACAAGAATTGCGTACTTTTGTACCCTCCTTTCCTCTCAGCCGATTGAAATGTCCGAGGATATCCTCTCATTAATTTCATCTTTAGTCACCCACTAGGAGATAGAGGACATTATGACTATACCTACTAGAGAAGTGATTCGAGATGTAATCTTATCGATGAGTAAGAACTGAACACCTAGACCCAATGGTATCTAGCTAATTTTTATACATCATGCTGGGACATCGTTGGAACATATATAGTACATGTTGTCAAAGAATTCTTCTATCATAAAGTCTTCCTGCGGAGTTGAAAAATTACATTTATTGCCCTCATCCCAAAGGTGACCAACCGAATTTCTTTTAGAAACTTTCGACCTATCAATCTTTGTAATGTATGTTATAAAATTGTATCTAAGATCATTACAGCACGACTGAGGGTTTTTCTTGATCGACTCATATCTCCATAGCAATGCAGATTTGTCAAGGGACGTCACATTCACGATAACATCATGTTAGTTCATGAACTAACATAGTCCCTTGATCAAGACATTTGTAGTTCCAACGTTATCATCAAACTAGACATGGCAAAGGCTTTTGATATAATCGAGTGGAAATTCCCCACTAAAGTACTTCGACGCTTCGAATTCACCGACGAGTTCATCGGCTTAGTTGATGCATATGTTAGGGAGAATCACTTCTCCCTATTGGTGAATGACACTTCCACCCTTTTCTTCACTACAACACGAGGCTTATGGTAGGGTGATCCATTATCACCCACTCTCTTCATATTAGTTGAAGAAGTCCTTAGTATAACCCTCTCTCGAGCAATATCACGTGGACTTATTCAATCATATCATTCGAACCAAGATTGCCTGATCATATCGCATTCTTTGTTTCCTCGTGATGCTATACTCACGAGGGACTCATGATTATTATCTCAAGCTACGAGAGGGTCACAAGTTAACTCGTTAATGTCTCGAAAAGCAATTTTATGGTGGCATCTTCTATCATCATCAGCACCATACGACGTATACAAGATATAACAGGATTCTCACATGGATATTTACCTTTTGATTATCTTGGATGTCCTATCTTCTTTGGATGCACTCGAATTCATTATTTTGATGCCCTTCTATGCAAGTTGAGGAAGAAACTTGCCGGATAGAAACTTCAACTTCTATCCTTAGGAGGTCGCATCCAATTGATATGCCATGTCCTTATGAGTATGCCATTACATCTACTAATAGTACATGAGGTATCAGATATTGTCCTACGATCTGTGAGGTAGATATGTACCTTTTTTTTGTGAAATGATTAACTCACGGGCCTCATCGCCAATGACGAGTTTTTTGAGAGAAAGCATGCCGACCGATGGAAGAGGGTGGACTAGGGATTAGATGTCCTGAAGACATACTCGACATGCTTCAAAAGAAACTCATATGGTGAATGAGGATGATGAGATCAATCTTAGAAACTTTTGTGTCTGTCAAATATGACGAGTGGGCTAACTAACCGGTAGACATAAAAGGAGGGAAGCAGTGGGCAGATTGGCAAAGACATTAGCTTCAGATGAAGCCTTTAATCCGGTGACACCTGGGACAAAGCACTATCAGTGCCTAGTATGACACTTGGCTTGTAGATACCTCTTTGACCTCTTTTACCTCCTTCACGTTATCTTGGCCCTAACTCACAATCGCCCGACTTCTCGAGGGGAATACGAAACTACTCATCGAACGGCATGGACTCCTAGATTTATTACTAGAGATCACGTTGATAGAGTTGAGCCCTAAGGATGATGAGGCCATTTAGACTCTCACCCTAAATGAGAGTTTCTTTTGTAGTTCTTCTTGGAACTATTTTAGAAATCATTTCCTAAAATAAGTTTGGAGAAATCCTATTTGGCATCATACTATCATACCTCGAGTCTCTTTCTTCATGTGAAAACTGATGCACCAAGGACTCTCTATTGATGATTGTATGGCCATCACTGGACACCACATATGTTTTAGGTGTCATTGTTGTCACACTACTCCAAAGAACGGAACTATGGATCACTTATTTTTCCATAGTGTCATTGCTACGGAATGTTGTAACCAACTCTTAAAGAATTGGTCACTCGCATTTCATCATCTTTCATCTCTCACACCCCTAGAGATCATCAAGAGAGTCTTTGATTCATCGCAAAACTCTAGGGGTAGTCCCTACCTACGTATTTCCATAATATACATATTATAGGAGATATGGAAGGGACGAAATCTCTCCCGTTTTACAAGTCAGCCAATGAGTGCCCTAGAGATTATGAGGCATGTCACACAATGACCGCGGAGTGCCCATCCTCTAGTGTTGCCTGTCGTAACATGCTCGGGCTCTATTTGTGAGGCACTCAAGACTTGGAGAATTCCAGCCTTACAGACCTATACATAGATCACTATGCGGACCGTCTATTAGAGACCATCGCTAATAGGATACCTGAAGCTCAATGTAGAAGGGACAGCACTTGGGAACCCTAGACCTGCAAAGGGAGGAGGTATCTTATGAGACCATACGAGACCATACAGTGAGTATTATCTTACGAAACCTTTAGACTAACACAGTAGTGAAGGCTATGGCGATCCACAATGGTTTGTTCCTCTATGAAGAACGCAACCTACATGGTATCTAATGTCTTCATTATCATGAGTTAATAATTAGTAAATAGTATAGTTTTAATATTAACTCATGATAAATATACTTATATTTGTGTTAAAGTATGAAAAGTGATTTTCAATTGATTAACGTGAATTTTTGACTAATTATGTGATTTTATACGAATTTATATGAGTTTTATAGTCTTATTTTTTAGATAAATGAGAAATAAAAAATAAAAAATAAAAATAAAAATATAGCAAAATGAGGGGGACCCGCCGGCCAGCTAGGCCTGTAAGCAGGTCAGAAGTGCAGTCGGAGAGGAGCCACGAGCAAGAGCTTGAGCGGCTAGGACCGATGGGAGAACATGTGTGCCACCCCCCTTCTATGTCACCGGTGGCCAGCTTATTATGAGACAAAGAGTGCTTGTACACATGGGAGAAAGGGATTCATTGGTTGTAAATGTAATATTACTATATATTCACCCAAAACTTCGACACACAAGCAATGTGAGACTAAACTCGCGTCACACCTTCCCCCGAAAGACTTTGATGATTTTAATACTTACAATACCCCCTATTTATAACAGAGAGATATCATGATGACATCAATTAATAACAGCATTAGAATACTTATTTCAATCTTTCTCATATAGGCAGTCAACCGGCATGAGTTCGAATCCTCCTATAACTAAAACTATATTTTTATCTGATTATCGCGACATTTCTAATTGTCAGTGAAAGATTAAGTTGTTGTGACATCGGAACTCTGTTTTCCTACTTTCAACTTAATTTTCACTTCTTTCAGTGATAATTTGTGTGATTTAAATTTACCAAGCTATACTTCATTCAATTATGATTCTTTTGGCTTTTACAAATCTTAATTTGATCAATTAAATCATTTGTAATCACTTATGTAAGAATCATCAGACGGAACTCTATTTTTGTCCAATTTACATTCACCGAGTGTTAACGTCATCCTAACATTTGCACCCTTATTTTCCTTTTTCATGAATTTTAAATATATTTTATTTTCATTTCTTAGTGTAAAATTCATAGAAAATAGTATTCTTTGAAAACAATTCTAAAAAATTACCGAATATTATATTACATCCTTGTGATCGACTTGGAAAATTACCATTATTTTTGAAATTTTTGTTGAATTATAATTGA